CTACACTTACGTCACGCTTTAGGCTATATATTTTCACGCTATTAAACTTAGGGGGTAAATATTTTGGATAAAAACCTTAATGTGGGAAAGAGACCATAAGTTGCTGCCAACATCAAGGAAGCAAGATTGTGAAGGTTTGTAATGTTATGTCACTTTGACATTTGCAATTGATAATTTGAAACACGTTTATTTTATAACATAAGGTGGCAAACGAGCAAGCGGCCACCTGAATCCGCCAAAATGGCGAAGCGACCGCTGCCCATAGACATCCGCAATTGCAGATGCGTTGCCTACCCTTATCCGACGAAGAAGGAGACGCACATAAAGAGGATATTTCCCCTTCCTATGCATCTCCTCCACCGTCAAATCCATTTCCTCTTCCCATCATCTCCTTATAAAAAGGGTGGTAAAGAGAAAAGGACTAAAATTAGGCGGATGCGAAATTTTAGGCGGATGAAGTCACACGAGAACAGCCAGTTAAAATATTCGTTGATTACTTCGCGAATATCGAACTTGATTGAATCGCGATAGATTATGCAAATAGCCGATGACCACAAAATTTAATTAGCTTTTTAAATAGATGAAACAAGTTTTGTTAACTTCCTTAAGTTGAACCTTATCTAATGTTTTGTTGTAAGTGCGTCATGAATTGACGGATGACTTTTGACGTCAAATCATCAAAGTCAACAAAGTCGTGTACTATTTAAGAAAAGAATAATCGTTATCCAGCGCTTTGAAGGTCCATAGTACATATTTTGTAATTTACCGCTGATTCTACGGCAAATATTTTTATTTTAAACTATACAATACTCACATGACTGGATAATAATTATAATTATATACAAAACAACCAAGCAAGAAAGTGTTGCCACTAAACTTTTCTGAGCATGTCACATTCCTATCATAGACTAGTAAAAGTCAATACAACAACCGTATCCATTAGTTATTGCACCCAAGCATTTTTGTACACCGGAAATAAGGGCGATAACATTTCTGGTTTTTTACATCACTATTTCGATATATTAGATACAAAAGTAAGCCAAGCGAATTAGAATTTTATGTCGTGAATAAACCGTGTCGCTAAATCAAACAGCAGAGTTTGCAAACTGTCATTTCGCAACGACTAAACCCGTTCCAGTGCTAATATTTAGTTTTTAATTATCATCCTAGCACCATAGTCACGTACGGTCTACGCAAAATAATAAATCTACAGCGAGATTCATATTATTTAGACGACACACTAAATTTTATAACCATAAATGACCTTGAAACTTTAACATCTATATATTATAAAGAAAGGTTTGTATTTTTGTATGTATTGAAATAAATCAAAAACTACTGAGCCTATTTCAAAAATTCTTTTACTAGTAAAAAGCTACGTTTTTAGTGAGTACCGTGAGCTATTTTTTATTTAATGCGGACGAAGTCGCGAGCAACAGCTAGTTAATTAAATCAATCAAAAGGTGGTTGAAGGTCAATAAGTATTATAGAGTGCAATAATCTTTATTTTACTAAAAAAATTACGTCTCCAAAGAGTAAACATGGAGGTAACCAAAAAAAAAAACTCCCACAATTATTGTAAATTGTCAGATATTAATCCAACATATGAAAAATATGATGGAAGTATTGGATTTTTGTACTCTATCTGACAGTGACTTCACTTTTAAGCTATCTGAGCCTCAATCAGCCAGTGGGGAAAAAGTTACTGGCACAAATAAAACAAACCTAATTACAGAGTAAAAAAATACTCAAAGACCAGACAAGAGACCAGAAGATCCAGAAATGTCTTTTATTAGACGGATCTTTATTCTATGGCGTTCAAGATAACATTCCAATTATAAATCATAAACTTCAAAACAATGCGTTTTAATAACATCAAACAAAAGCTATTTTTATTAGAAAAGGGAAGAATTTTGCGTGATAAACAAATCTTTTGTTTAGTTAAATTAAAATGCATAATATTGTGAAAATAAGTTTGTGGTTTTTGAACGCATCAAATATTATCAAACACGATCACTTGAATGGAAGCAATGAAATCAATTAAATAAATATTAATAATAGATTGTTTGATATTTAAAACAATGTCACAAACACTCACGCTATAGGCACGTGCCTATATTGACAACAAATATTAATTGAACATGACCTATTTTTTTATAAGGTAACAAACGAGCAAGCGGCCACACTAGCACCAACACCAGCTTTTGTCAGCAAATTTTAACCTCCCCTTTTTAAATCAAAAACAAAATATGCCTATGTACATTTATATTTTCAAAAGATTTTTTAAAATCGATCTGGAATTTTTGGGATTGTTACATACAAACATAGTGATGTTTCCTCTTTATAACATAGGTATAGTACACGAATACAGTAGTAATCTTATGTACGTGATTATTCATAAAACAAGAACGATTATGTTTTAAGATAAGATTCCATTTTCACTTTGAATATGATAACATACGTAATTATCGTATAGATGTAAAGATAATAGTTGGTTATAAATATATGAATCATATGTTAACACGTTTACTGCGGCAAGTAAAATAATTCTTCACCTGGTGCAACGGCGGGTTAAAATGCGCCCCCAATGATATCTCCGCTATTGCGTGGCAGGTCTTTCTAGACCCACCGACTTTAGGATAAATTCAATTAACTTTATGAAAACATAATGTATACATTTTTTGTAATGTATACACATGAGATAATAGTTTTGCACTAGCAAGAGGGACATAGTTTTCTTCGTCCGCATCAGCTTAGGTACCGTGTCAGGTCGATATCGGCCTGTTAGGCATTGAGCGTGTTAATGTGGTAGAAAATTTATGGTAAATATATTTATGTTACATAATATATTACCAGGAAAATACCACGTTTTCGCATAGATGGACATATTTTTTTAACCTTGCTAATGTTATAAATGCGTTTAGAGGAGTGTATGTTTGTTAGAGAGTGTAGCCTAAATTGGCGAATGGATCTCGATTCAATTTGACATATCTATGCCATGTAGAGAATAGAACGAAAAAACAGGGAAAACAATTAGGGTACTTATTATACTTATTTCTACGTGGACGGAGTCGCGATCGTAACCTATTAATACATATATTGTAACAAACACAGAATTTTGCAACGCAACCTAAAGAGAAACATAAAAGCAATGTTGCACTAAGATAATAAATTACTTTCTTTATCTAAAGTAATTATCTTTGTGACTAAAAATATTGGTAAGATTACAAATCTTTGCAATCTTAAATACCACAACATGTATTGTGTAATGACATTTGTGGCTTTTGAACGCAATGTGAATGATTATTTTGAATATATAATAATCATTCATTCTTCGAATACTGGTGGTATTCGAAGAATGAATGATTTTTAATCAGTACATACAAAGACAACACTATTTAAATTTCCAATAAAATAGTTTAATGTATGCAATGGATAAAGTGTTATATTAAATAACTAAGTGTTGCTCGCGACTTCTACGTGGGGTTAAAAAATAGCCCATGTTACTAAGTGATAACGTAGCTTTTAAATGGTGAAAGAATTTTTGAAATCGGCCTAATAATTTTTGCGTAACATACAAAAATCCAAAAATACAAATATTTCCTCCTAATCTTATTATAGTTAGACTATCTATGGAAACGCAACGTGAAAACAACTAAAAAAACTAAACATTCAAGGACTAACAAACACTAGTTAAAATTTCAAGAAAAGTTAATTAAAAAACTAAATGTTTTATAATAATTCTACGAAAAATCTCGCCTAGTAACAATAGCTTAAACCAAAGAGTCAATCATCTCAGGAGTTCAGTGCCATTTTTCGTCACACATGACATCTTGCGTCACGCTCGGGTCAAAATGAAAGCAATAAATAACAAGATAATGCGATTTGAAAATACTTAACAACCGTTGAAATTTGTCAATGTTTTTATAGTGACCATGGTTTTCGATGTTTCGGGATAATCCAAAAAACATTTGTAATATATTTTCTATTAATTTTAAAAACATAATACTTTACTATCGTATTGTACTCGCGCAAATATGATATAATGTAACATGATAATTAATGTTTTATAGACGTAAGTTGTTTGCAAGTGAATTAAAATAGCATAAGCAATTTAAGTAAAAATTTTAACTTAAACTTTAACTACAATCGATCTGAAAGGTATTAAAAAACGTAAAAAAAAACAAAATTATGTTAATTTTAGATAATAGATAAAATTATTATTAAATCTTCGTTGCATTTTTTTCGTTAATTTTTTTTAATATTTTGCAAACATAATCCCAAGTTACAAAGAGAAATTTTACAAGTGAAGTTTAAGTAACTTTGTTCTTATAAATTTCAACACTTAGTAAAACTCTAAAAACGATCAAGACAACGCCGAGATTTCATAAGTATGCCGTTTTATCGGATTCGATACGGAACCGATATTTGTCTTACAACAAATTGCCAAACTCCTTTTTATTACAATCATATTTCAGTCGATTTTATTCAACAAAAATACTCAAAACACGATCCCTATTTTACAATAAATCGATACATGATAAACATTTTAAAAACATATGCTCATATTTTTAGATTATTTAACATTTTATATTAACATATAAAATTTCCTTAACACAAGCAATGTAATGCATATTAATCTGGTTATATTAATGACCGGTTTTAACATTTTAAAGAACATTAATATGTGATGTAAGACGAAATAATCAAACAAAGCAAATCCGCTTGACAGCCGTGTTCAAATATTGAATGGAGAATATTTGTTCAGGGTTAACCTTCGAAAGAAAATTGCCAGCCTTTCGACCCACCTTATAGTTCAAAGGTTGCCATACTGGTTTACCGAGTGCGCGAATCGACATTCAATATGCGACAAGATTTTTTACATCAAACATTCTAAATTATCGCCTCTCGCGGATTTCATCTGTAGTCCTTTCGTAATACAACTTTCAGTTTCAAAACGTTTGCGCTCAAATTGCATAAAGCTGTTACACAACACTTACGTGCAGGGTTCAGTGGGGAGGGCCGGGAGCACTGACGTACAAGTATGCACTTCTTAAACACTTATAAAACGCCATGCACTTTATCCATCACGTTATAAACAAGGTCACAAAGTCTCAAAGCTCTGGAATCGAAGGTTCCCGCGGCACTCGCGACACAATTTTTCCGTGAGTGGAAAACTGTTGCCGCGCGACACGAGCAGCGCTTGCGAAGGCTAGCGGCCGACTGACTCGCGCCCGTTCTCCCCCACGCAATAAAACCTTCGCTTTTCAAGAGTGGGGCGGGCAATGGCGATTTTTTCCAAAATAAAAATATGATTCTGATTTAATTGTTTTGATGTCCCGCTAACAAGAAGTTAAAATTTAGTTTGAAAAATATTTAACAACTGTATGTTCTTTGCAAAGAATTGTAACCACTGTAAGATCTTATCGTATGGACATGTTAAGCGACGAGACGATGGGGTCATAAACCAGAAAGTTTTAAGAATGCATGTGGATGCCTACAAAGGAAGAGGAAGACCGAAGAAAGTATGGATGGATTGTGTGGACGGGGATATGCTTAAGAAAGGAGTGAATTCAGATATGACGGCTGATAGAAATGTATGGAAGAGAAGCACATACTGTGCCGACCCTCCGTAAGGGATAAGGGCAAGTTGATGATAAACCATAAGTTACTGCATTGAGTACACATTCCTAAATAACACACTGCCCTAAGCCATGTTTAATTTAATAAAACACAAAACTTGCCATATTTTACATTTTAACCGAAAATCTAGTCTGATGAGCGTTTTAAAATTGTACCGAAAAATCTTTCTTAAGTTAAACAATATCCACTAACTTAAAATTTCTAACAAATAATAAAATACTAGATTTCGCTCGCGACTCCGCATTCGTGAAATTAAAATTAAAAGCCTATGTGTTTCTCCAGACCTTCCTCTACACCTATGCCATCATCGAGATCCGTTCAGCAGTTTAGGCTACAAATTCTAACAAACATCCATCCATCTAAACTTTCGCATTTATAAAATTAGTAAGATTATTTTGTTTCACGAACAAACTTTTAATGTATTCTAAGTGGTCGTACAGGTTATACAAGAATAGTATAAGCTGTGGCGCCTCTGCTTTTGATGTGAACTTTTATGGTTTTACAAACAAGAGATTTGAAAGGATTTTTCCCTGCCAAAAGATATCAAAAGTGTTAATAATTAAAACTATGATTTTAAAACAAAAAAGATGTAAAAAGATGTAGAGAGCTGGTTGTTAATTTAATTTTTTACTGGCAACCCAATTTAAAAACAAAAATAAGCTCTACGTTACAAAACTTTTTCTTGGACAGAAAATACTTAAATCGTTATTAAATTTAATTAAATCATACTAACAATATCTTTTGTTAATTAAATTAAAATAACTTTTTCCTTCCAATGGATTAATAAATAACCGATGACATCATTTTAACGAATTTGTTAAAACTAAAATTGATTTAGTCATTTTTCATAAAAAAAAACCGCAAAACTCAAGTAAGCAGATGTATCGAAATGACGTTATTTCCTGTTTCTTCGCGACAATTTCTTAGTAATGGACATTCTGGTATTGTCATCTATACTATTATAATAAAGCGTAAACACACACTTCTTTGTAGCCTAAGATGTCAGCAATCACAGCATATTTTCGAATAACTCTTTCTTTTAATAAAAAGCCCTACACTTACGTTACACTTTAAGCTATATATTTTCACGCCGTTAAACTTAGGGGTAAATATTTTGGATAAAAACACTAATGTAGGAAAGAGACCATAAGTTGTTGCCAACATCAAGGAAGCAAGGTTGCCATGGTTTGACATCATGTCATGTCATTTTGACATTTGCAATTGATAACTTAATATATGTGAACAATAAAATTATTTTTTTATAATTTTATGCGGATGAAGTCGCATTGGAACAGCTAGTCTTTTATGTAATCATTTTAAGATATTAATAGGAAAGATTTAAATTTTTAATTATGATAAATCTTAAAGTATTTAGTTCATTTAAGGAAATTCAAAAGAATATCAAAGTAGCTCACAAAGTAAAGTACAATTTGTGCTTTAAATTAAAGACTTATGAATGAAGTATTATGAGTTTTCAAATAAAAACAAAATACACGAAAAACAAAACAAAATGCACTAAAAACAAAACAAAATACACCAAAAACATAATATTCTCAAAAAAACAGTACACTA